AAAATCAGCCTGGGCCTCTGACCCAGTGGGTGACCCACAGTCTGGCAGCTACGGAGTGGTCAGCCTGGGAGGCCGGAACATTGAAAGAGTGGCTTCTTCCGCAAGCAGAGGAGGTGGGCAGAAATTCTAGCAAGTGCTAATTAGGTCTAAGTAGCTACCCCAAGGAGGGGAGGAATGTCTGATTAAGCACTGGCCTGCTCTGCAGGGGGCCACACCCCCAGGGCTACCTGCCGCCTTTCCTGCTTTCCAGAGCTGGAAACCTCAGCCAGGAGGCCAGGCAGTTCTGGGACAGGACAGCGAGGGTGAGCCTCACCGACATCTGGTCCCAACTCCCCCCCTAATGTTTGTAACAGACCCACTACCTAATTGCATAGTTGGGGAGCAGCCGTCACATCTTTCACACCTAATTCACTATTGTTTCTTTGGAAGCCCCAATCCTGTGCCTGGGGAGGGAGGGTTCTGCCCAAGTTTATGAGGCTTTCAAGCCCCGGGCATCCCAGCCCGGTCTGATTAGGCTCCAGCTGTGCAGGCAGCCAGGAGGGCATCTCCACCCCAACTTCCTGCACTCAGCCTGGGGCTTCACAGCCTCCCCCTGCCCAGGCTCACCTGGTTTGGCAGGAACACCCCCAGATACAGCCTCTCCTGGTTGTCATGCCCTCCCCACCCACACAGGAAGGCCACTTTATTTCCCTTGCTCCGCGTTTTGGGGCTTTTTTGCCCTCTCCACCCCCAACGAAGGGAGGAAGGCAAAGTGGAAAGTGGGAACAGGGAAACCTGGGTTCAAATCTCACCTCTGTCACTTTTTACCCAGGGACCTGGGGCCAATCACATTCTTTTATAGGCCTCAGTTTCCCCATCTACGAAATAGGCCTCCTGACACTTATCTTGCCAAGTTCTTGTACCAGTCAAATGAAGTCACAGTAATAGCTAGGGTACCAAGAGCTCACTGTGCACCGGGAACCATCCCGAACAGGGTGGGTGCAGAGTGCTAGGATCATGAGTCCATCTAGATCAGATGCCCAATAAACATCACTTTCCTCTCCTAGGCCAGTGGGGGGATGGGTGGCCATAGAGGGGGAAGACTGAATGCAAACAATGGCCAAAGGTGGGGCAGGTAGAGAGAGCACTCTCATTCTCAAACCCACTTCTCTCCCTTTTGGGGGCCAGTCCCACTTTGCTTGCATGCTGACCCTGTGAAGTGCTAGGGCAAAGCTCCATCTTTCCTCACTTCTGGCACTTGGGTCACATGGTACCCCGATGGGGTGAAGAACAGAGGGGTAGGGTCTGGGACCAAGAAACCTCAGCCTTCTCCTCCCCGCCCTCTGCTTCCTTGGGTCAGAGAAGCAGATTTGGGAAGGATGCTAAGAGGGACCAGACTGGCCACTGAACTGGCCCTCGACCTCCCTAGAAGAGCCCCCACTCATCTCCCTTTGCCATATTCCATCGTGTTTATTAATCACTACCATCACTATCCATTAGTCATCTAATGGGCTCTGTCATGAACTCGCTGGGTGTGCTGGAGCAAGTCGATCTCCCTGTGTCCTGATTGCTTCCTCTCTAAAGCAACGGGGTTGAAGGGAAATGGAGAGAGAAGGCTGCGGGTGAAACACCTGCATGGGTGCCTCCTGGCTCTTACTGGGCAGGAATAATCCACAACTCTTTGCTCTGCTGTCTCTTTTGAACAGTACATTGGCCCTGCAAGGTGAAAACAATTGGATTGATGAGGGATACTACTCAAGGTCACATAGCTGGCAAAGGGCCAAGCTGAAAATAAACTCAGGGGCCATAGGTCCCAGATCCCTGTACCCTCTGTGACGCTGACATCCTGGAAAGGATCCAGGGGAGTAGGAGAGGAGCTGTCATCAGGGGCCTGGGAATGTGGTGTATATCTGCCCCCTCCCTCTGGTGGTTTGGGAGATGATGGACACCGAGACAGGAGTGGGGAGGCGGGAGGCGGGCAAAGACGGAAACCCTGGACAGGTGCCAGGAGCTCCAAGTTCTAGCAACCAGACAGACCTGGGTTCACATCCCAGCTCCATCATGAACTATCTGTGTGACTTCAGGCAAGTGACTCCACTTCTCTGACCCTGCTCTATAAAATAAGGCTAAAAATGCCCACCTCAAAGACTGTTGGGTAGATGCAGTAAGATTGTGCTTGGTACATAATAGGTGCTCTGAAAAGGCTCCCTACTCAGCGGGACCGTGGAAACACTCGGCTCCTCCATCAAGTGAACATCCTCCGACCTCATCCGTGTTGGGAAATCTTCCCACCAGTCCACTGTGCCTGTCGTTAACATATGTCGCATTTGCTCCGGATATATCCAGAAAGCTCCGTCTAGAGGAAAGCGAGGCTGGGCCCACACCTTCCCCGCTGGAGGGGCAGGAAAAGAAAAGAACCACTGGCCCCATTGTTCCGGGAGGTGGAGCAAAGGCAGGGTGTTGGGTGGGGGAGACACCTGCGGCCTGTAAGGGGGTGGGCAGAACCAGCAGCAGAAGGTGACCCAGGGTAGCGGTGAGAGCCCAGGTTAGGGCATCAGGCAAGCCCAGCCTGGGAACTGCCACCCTCCTTCACAGAGTAGCCGGAGCAGTCCCTTCACAGTGTAAGGTATGCCACATGTGGTCCCCCATCTCACTCTGGATAAAAGCCCGTGTCAGGGAGCTCCCGAGTGCTCAGTGCCTGAGCAATGCGAAATATGTTAACGACAGGCACAGTCTTGATTTGGGCTCAGGTCACGATCTCACGGTTTGTGGGTTCAAGGCCCGCCTCGGGCTCTGCGTTGACAGCTCAGAGCCTGCTTGGAATCCTCTCTCTCCTCTCTCTCTCTGCCCACCTCCGCTCATGCTCTCTCACTCTCTCTCTCTCTCTCTCTCTCTCTCAAATAAACTTAAAAAAAAAAAAAAAAAGCCAAGTCGTGGTCTGGCCCTCTCCAATACGCTGTCTTCTCCCCCATTCACTATGCCCTACCCCCCTGGCCCCTCCTTATTTCATGACAGGCCTCCAGGCCTTAGCACTCTCTTTCCTCTGCCCAGAATGCTCTTCCCTTCAGTGTCTGCCTGTACCCCCCACTCCAGAGGCCTTCCCTGAGCACTCTATCTAAAATAGCATCCCCATCCCCCTCTATCCCCTCACCCCATTTTATTGTTCCCTATTTTATGATTTACCTCTATCTGACATATTTGTATCTATTTGGTTTATTGTCGATTTTCCCCAATGGAATGTAAGCTCCATGAGGGCAGGGGCTCTATCTCTAGCCCTTGGAACAGCATCTGGCACAGAGTAAACTAAACACATTTCTTGGATGAATAAATAAATGATTGATTGAATGCTGACTCCATGATTTTCTACCTTGAATCGCTTTGGGCAGGTCATTTCACTTATCTGGAACTTCCGGTGCAAAAGATAGTGCACACCCATCTCATAGGGTTATTGTTTAAACTAAATAACAGTGTGAAAGGAACCGACACATAGTAGGTGCTCAATAAATGACAACTACCATCACGGTTATTATCACCAGGTGTCTCAGGCTCAGTCACCCACTCACTGAGTCCTTGAACACATTGATGGTCTCTCTGGACCTCAGTCAAGAGTACCCATGTCCCACACCGGGATGTATGGTGGATGCCCAGGCAGGGTATGTAAAATACCCAGCAGGGCATCTGAAACACAGTAGGCATTCACCAGGTGGCCGCTACTGCAATCCTGGAGAGTGTAGGATTTGGACACCAGCCCCAGAACTTTCTTATTCTGTGACCTTGGGGAAGCTGCTAAATGTTTCTAAAAAATGGGTATAATGATAGTATCTTCCTCGCAGGTTGTCCTGAGGTTACAATGAGATGGTGCACCTGAAAGGGCTTCATAAAATCCTAAGGAAATGTGCTGTGACACGCAGGACAGAGCCCAGGGATGGGGAGGGACCTTGATAATGCAGGGAGGAAGGACAGAACCGGGAGATGTGCTTGACCCAAGCTCTGAGGTGTGTTGCCGAGGGAGCACACAGTTCAGAAGCCAAGCCCCGATCCAGCCAGGAGTCCTTTACCAAGATGCTCCCACCCCCCCTTTCCTTCCTGTCTGTAGGGCCTCACTGGGGACTTCTGGACAGTTTTGGCAGGAGAAGGTTTCAAGGGAGGCAGGTGACAGCAGCAGGACCCCACAGAAGGCATCTTCCTCTTCAGTCAACCTCCTGCCCGATCTGCTTCCTACCCCAAGACCAACCCGGCCTCTTGCCTACCTCCTGGCCAGGCCCTGGGGAAGAAGACCTAGAAGAAAGTTTTAGAGGCAGACAGACTCCTTACATTCCAGCACATGAGAACCTAAGGTCTTCAGAGTGGACCTGGGCCCTCTGACCCCACTGCCACCAGATGCAGAACAGGGCCCCGCTCCCTCCTCAGCCTGTTTCTGGCAGAATCCAGATACGGGCTGCACAAATGACTCAAGCAATAACCCCTAGACTGCAAGCTCCATGATTTTTCGTCTGTTTCGGTCTTTGGTGAATCGCCAGTACCTAAAACAGTCCCTGGCACTTGGTAAGGCCTTAATAAATATAGGTTGAATAAGTGGTTCCATCAATAAATGAATGAATGAAGCAATGAATCGGTGAATACGTGACGTTCCCTGCAGGCTGGAATTTTTCTGGTATGTTCTTTGATACATGCCCAGTACACAGAATAACACAGGAGGTGCCGAGCAAATGTATGTGACCCTATGACTGGTGACTCCTTGGAATGTAATCTCTCTGAAGGCAAGGATTTCCAGAAGTAAAGATCTCTTTGTCTGAGGCTGCATTCCCAGGGCCTAGAACAGTGCATGGGAGCATGGTGGGGTGGAAGCAGAGGGGAGTTGGGGGGGGGGGGGGGGGGGGGGGCAGGGAGTGAATCAGTGAATGAATGAGTGAGGCCCCAGCTCTCAGCGCAAACACCAAGAAGAATGAAACACAAACAGGCCACCCTGCCTGAGCTCTGCACGCCTCCCCTCGCCCCACCTGCCACCACTCACCTCATGGTTTTTTAAATAATTTGTCGATTGTTTTTAATTGTTGAGGCAGTAATACTTGGTTCATGAAACTGCAATATACAGAGAGGTGAAATAAATAGCTTATATATATATAATATATATAATATAGCTGGTTTTAAAATATTCCCTTATCATTGGTGTACTAGGTCACGTGAGTCACGGAAGGTCGATAGCAGCATCCTCCAGAACTGCGAGCAATGCAGGGTCACTTGATTGGACGAGGCCGTCTGTCGTCGGAGGTCGGAGGTCGAGGCGCCGAGAATTCCCGAGGGGCACGCCTTCCCTGCGCGGTGTCTCGGGACAGCTTGCAGCGGACAATAAATAAATGACTGCAAACCAGAGAGCGATTTTTGTTGGAGATTGGGACAGGGACGGGGGATTGGAGAAGAAGGGGAGTTTGGGGGTGGGTACTACTTTCTCTTTGTTTTTCTCTTTTTTCTTTTTTTTCTTTTTTTTTGTTTTGTTTTGTTTTGTTTTTGTTTTTGTTTTTGTTTTGTTCTTTGCTTTCAGAACCTTTGGGAAAAAGGACTTTGGTTTCTCAGAGTGTCGTTTTCCTCATTCAAATCCTCCTCTGGGGACAAGTTTAGAGTTGTCGGTTCCTAGAGAGAGACAAGCACCTGTGCGTTGACAACAGTCCCTTCTCGTGAGTCTTTTGTCATAGACAGGGGGTTTCAAGTCAACAATAAAATCCTTATCGCTCCCCCTCCCCCCAAGAGTTTTGGTTCAGTTTTTGTCTTCTTTTAAACACAATGTACAAAAATAGAGCTTCTTCCTAATTTTTCATGTAAAAATATTCCTCTGATGCAGTTCTCTGTGAGTGTGAGTGTGGGCCTGGGGGCAGCCTGGGGGGCTGCGGTGGGGCCAGCCTAGCCTGGGTGCGTGGGGCGGATCCGCCGGGACCTCTTGGTCACCGTGGTGTACTTGAAGGGCTTCTGCAGCTCTGCCTGTCCCTTGGGGTAGCGCTTCATGAAGTGCACGTCCTGCTGGTTCTCCCGGGTCTTGGGACCCTTCCGTGGCCGCCCCTTCTTGGTGAAGCCCACGTACCAGCCAGAGTATTTGGCGGACATCAGGGCTGTGTAGTTGTTCTCCAGGACCTTCTCAATGAACACACACTCCTTGCTGGTGCCATCGGGCTGGAGGAGGCAAGAGAAGAAGGAGGTGAGACAGGGAGGGTGGGTGTGAGGGGCAGGCTGTGTGGCCCGGGTACAGACAGGTGACTGAGGGTTGGCGCAATAGCGTAGAGAGGGCCTGACCTGAGCAACTTCACTTCCTTGGTCTGTGGAGTGGAGTTGTCATGTTGGCCCCTGCCTTCTTCCCTGCCAGCCAATTAGGTAATAGATTCCCTCGTCATTCAGGAATCCAGCCCTTCCCCACTCTCTACCCTACAGCCAAGGGCTCCCACCTCAACTCTGCTAGTACATGAGACCCAGACCTGGCCAATAAAACATTCCTGTGACTGGGGCAGAGCTGGGCATGTGGTATGAGCCATCCAATCAGAATGTTCCTAAAGACCCCTGTATAAGCAATCCCCAAACACATAGGCTGATTTAAACATGAGGAAAATGTGAGGCTGAAGCAAAGGCAGCCATTTTACCACCATGAGGAGAAACGCCATCTGACAACAAAGCCAACACAGAGAAAGTGAAGCCAAGACGAAGAGAATGAGAGAAATCAAGTTCTGGTCACATCCTTTGGGCTCTGGACCAAGCAGCAGCTGCAGCTCATTACCTCACTGTGATGTGGGCCAATAATGTCTCATCTCCTTTAAAGTAGTTGAGATTATGTTCTGTCACTTGCAACAGAAAGAGTCCCCGCAGATGTGCACAAAACCCGATATAAAGTCAACTACTGCACTGCCACTCAACCCCACTGCCATATAGTTAAATTTCAATTCCATTTAATATGGGATATGGTGCCTTTTAAGTGTTTGGTGTGAAGAGGGGTGGGGACCTCCAAAAATACGAGTTTTTACATGGCCAAACGCCGAAGCCTATGCCCTTGGTTCTGAGACTGCAGGCTCCCGAGCAGATGTGTGAACTGCCCAGGAGACAAGGGATGCCAGGAAAGGAGTCAGAAGTTGAATCGACTCGAACGCTTCCTCACGTGACCTCAGGCTAGTTAATTCCACTCTCTAGACCTCGGATTCCTCATCTTACCAAACTGGGACGGCGACCCCTGCGTCACAGAAATGTGAGGAATGACGCTTATAAATGAGCCTCATACACAGCAGGAACTTGCTAAACTATTTCTGAAAAGCAGGTGGTTCAGATGGTTCTGGCCTCCCTCCCTGGATCGGCTCTGGACAAAGGATGGTGGGAGGCAGGGCTTTGAACCTCCTCCCCGAGACGGCCGGACTGGTCCATGTAGAGGAGTGGGAAGTGCACAGAGTTGGAAGGCCTGAATTAGCAGCACTTGAGTTTCCAACTAACATCTCCAAATTTAGGCCGGGCCCACTCCTCGTTACGGACGGATGCCCCGCCAAGTTGGAAGCCCAGCGGTCTGGCCGTGCGTGGAGACTGAGGTGCGAGTTCCAGCCTTTTGTTTGAAGTGGAAAACAGGCTGGAGCTTCCAGGAACGTTCACCTTTGAGTGGAGGGCAGGCTCAGGCCCTGCAGACAAAGTGCTGAACTTTGCAGAAAGGGACAGGCAGGGTAAGAAAACATTGTCTGGAGGATGAGATCCTTCGAGGAGGCTGCGGAACGGGCAGGGGGTGGGGCCGGAAGACATGTAGGACCCAGAAGACAGTGCGTGTCGGGCAGCACGGGGTGGGGCTGGGCAGTGAGGAACTCTTGTGAGGGAAGTGGGGCTTATGTGCAAGGTAGACGGGAGTGGTCTCTGGGCCCCCCATGGATAATTCTGGAAGCTGCCTATCCAACCTGGGCCCAGGTCCTTTGGCCAGTCTCCATGGAACAGTGACAGCAAACTGAGCAAAGCCTCTACCGTGCTGTTTCCCCATCACAGAATGCCTGCCACTGCCTGGAAGACTGCTTTCGTCCTCCAAGGTTCGGCTCAGTAACCACTTCCTCCAGGAAGCTTTCCTTCACTGCCTTCTATCTCCCTGGGCATTTCCTCTTCTTCCTTTAAGACTCCATTCAAGCATCCGGTTTGAGTGGATTCACGTACTCCATCTTCTTCCCTTGGCACCCATTCCTCCTCCTGCGCCCCAACAGAGCAATTCCATATCTGCCTGCCTCCTCACTAGCCCAAGAGCTTGAGCAGGTCAAGACCACTTGTCAGCTGCCCGCAGGGCTCAGCACAGGTCCGGGCACCCAGAGCATTTGTGGTCGAACGAATGAAGGGTTCTGGGATAGACTCACCAAAGGGCTTTCCTCTAAAAGAAAGTAGCCTTTGCGTCCCAGACCCCTCACTGATGTCCCAGAGACAGTCAGTCATGAGCCGTGAGAGGCCCTCCTGGGGGATGTGCTGAGAAGGGGACACAGCGAGCAGAGGGCCAGACCTACTTGGTCTCCCTCCTCATTCATTCACTCATTCCTTCAACTTTTATCGATTGTCAATTATAGGCCAGACATTTCCACATGCATTATTTCATTTAATCCTCTCGACTTGCTGAGGTAGACTCTCTCTCCGCGAGAAGAAAAGGGTAAAATGGCTTGCCCAAGGTCATGGGGCTTGTAAGAGGCAGAGCCGGCTTTTAACCTGCATTTGCCACTGCAGCTCATTTCTCCTCTGTCCAGTTCCGGAGAGGTCCGTGAGGAGAAAGGGTATGGAAGAGCGGGCACCCACTATCAAGGCACCTCACCTCCCCAGGGCCCACACAGCCACCATCAGCATGAAGCAAGGTCTCGGATGTGCAAGGAGCTAGCACATGTGCTTGTACAGGTTTGGGGTTACTTATGAGAGCCCAAATTCCCAGCACCCGAGACCTCAGGAGCTCCTTGGGAGGAGCCATGGTGCCAGTGACGGTCATAAGTTCCCCCCATGAACTCAGACATAGCAGATATGAAGTTAAATGGCAGGCTGCACCTGGGCTTGACCCTCACCTCTGCTCCCGACTACCTCCAAGGTCCTGCTTATTGCCTGCAAAGGTTTTTTAAAAACAAACACAAAAACAAAAACCCGTGCTTGGGCTTCGCCCCCAAAAATGCTGACTCAATTGGTTCGGGCAAGGTAGATCATCAGTATTTACGGAGTGAGTGAATATCCCATCCCAGGACCTCGGTGATTAAGTAGAATTTGAGCATCTCTCCCTGCCCACTACCTCCAACCTCCTCCTTTCCAAACCGGAGTCCCATTCCTTCTATTTGATCTGAAGACCGAATCCTAATGACATCATTTGGCCCCTAGATCCAGTCTAACTTGAAGCTACAACTACCCCCTGGACATTTTAAGTTTTGTCAGCCAAAAGAATTCCTTTTTCGCTTAAGGCCTTTTGAGTTGGGTTTCAGTCATCTACAAATGAAACAGTCCTCACAAAGATGGGGTGGTGGGCAGGGTACCCCTCTGCCCTGAAAGGTCTGGGGCCATATGTTGCCTCAGCCCAAAGAGGGTTCACCAGGGATCACACAGGGGATTGGGTTGAATAGTCAGAGACGGGGAGGTGGGGGGAATGCCTGGCACACAGTGCTTCATACTTAGCAACTGTTTATGGAATGAAAGGGTGTACTCCTTCCCAGGAGTGGGATGGTTGTGGGGTCCAGAAAGGTGACAAGAAGAAAAGGGGCTGCCTGAGCACGCAGGGGCTCAGCGCAGAGCCTTGGTGTGTGATTGTTACAACAGAGAAGCTACAGCCGGGGTCCAGAACATCTGAATGGTCTCTGTTGGGGGCTCAACGCACGTGCCCTACCAGGGCCAAAGACGTGCAAGGTTGGCACCCACGGCCAAGACCACCCAAGAAAGCTATCCTGTTAGGCCACTCCAAAGGAGCCAGAGCCTAAGCTGAGGCCACAAAGGTCCTCCTTCCCACAGGCGAGGGAGTAACGTCATGGCCTGGCTTCAAAGGGAAAGGGAAGGAATATTTAACAAGTGCCAGTAAATGCCAGCATGATCACTGCCATTTTACAGAGGAGAACACTGAGGCTCAGCAGTTAGGGCACTTGACTCCCCGGCCTGACGTGAATAATTCTGGCGGTAGGTTAAGACCAACCTCGGAAAGCATGAACTATTTTTCTACTTCTTTGGTGGGTGCTTCTGAGAGGCCAGGTACACAGAGCATGGATGGCTGGACCCAGAATCAGCCCTCAGTGAGCTCTCAATCTAACTGGGAGGTGTAGGCACACAGACAAACGTGACAACTCAGGTTAGCAATAGGTGATGGAGGACTGTGTGAGGGACTGTGGGCTCCAGGGTGGGTGTGCTGTACGAGGGGCCAGGGAAGTAAGAAGCTGTTGAAGGCTGAGCAGGACTCGGGGCAGACAGACAGAGGGAAGGGCAACCTGGGCAGAGGGAATGGCTTGTACACAGCCGGAAGGTCCCGTCCACGGGAGTGGCAGTTCGCAGTGTTATGTGTCTGTGGCTTAAGAATGTGAGGATGGGTGGCAGGGCTGTGAGGCCAGGGAGACCCCCCCCTCCCAGGGCCTTGTGTGTCTGTGTGTCTCCCCAGAGAGTGTGGCCTTTCTCTGGTAGATGGTAGATGGTGCGGACCCAGGGATGGGTTTTGACAGGAGTTGGGGTGGAGGACAGGGGGTGCGTTTTAGAAAGCGGAACGTGGTTAGTGAGCAAAGGCAAAAGCCTGAGGCTAGCAGCCCTAGGGCAGCTGGGGCAAAGTATGAGGTCAGAACAGAGGCAGTGGCAGCAGTGAAGGACGGAGGGGTAACCCCAGGACCTTAGCCCCTGACTGCCTAGGAGGCTGTGATGGAACAGCACCCCAAGAGCCTGTGGCTTTTTGCCCCGGGGGCGAGAGGCAGTAAGGGGAGCTGAGCTAGGCAGAGGCCAACAGGGGGCCTGCCCAGGGCCATCCTGGGGCAGGTGGATTTGGGGGGCAGGCTCTGGGCCAGCCCAGAAGACAGACGCCTGTACGGGGATGGGGGAGCTGCCGCGAGGCGGGGGGCGGGAAGGAGGGGGCCCTCCCTGGGCTGCGCCGAGCCGGCAGAGCCAGCGCCAGCTGAACCGTCCCCAATATTAATGACGGGAGAGAGGGCGAGGGGGCAGGAAATCGGAGCCGGCTCCTGTGGAAGCGGTGACTCAGCGGCCAGCCGGCGGGCGGGCAGGCGGGCGGTGGGCGGTGGGCGGCCGGCGGCGGGGAGCGGGGCTGCTCTTTTGACCCCAGCACGGCCCTCCTGGGGTCAAGCTGCCGGGAAGCGCGCAGACGGGATGGGGGGGGGGGGCGGGGGCGCGGGCACCGGGCACGGCGGGCTGCCGCGCGCCCCTCCTGGAAGCCGCGAGCAAAGGAAGCCGAGCGTCCAGCCGCGGGCAGGTTGGGCCTGGGAGGCGGCCCGGGCGGGCAGGAGAACAAAGCGCCTGACGCGGGGCCGGGCAGCGCCGCCACAGGAAACGCACGGCCAGGCCAGGGGACCCGGCGCCCGGCCCGCCCCTGCCCCGATCCCCTCGCCGGCCGGCCGGCCTGCCGGCCGCCCTGGGACGCGGAAAGTGAATCACTAATTAAAACCACTCCCGGGCGTCCCGGGGCCGCGCTCGGCCGATTACTATTATTGTGCTCGGTGAGCGAGCGGCTTCAGTCGGTGTGGGCAGTGCGGCTGGAACCTCTGCCTTCCAAGCTGGGCTTTGAATCCCCGCCCAGCTGTAGTGTGGGACCCGGGACAAGTGCCTGGGCGGGGGCCAAGCCTCGGCTTTCTCATCTGCGAAGTGAGGATGGTAGTGGTACGGCCCTCGTGGGATTATTTGGGAGTATTTTTTGCACAGTGCCTGGCAGAAAGTAGGTGCTCAATTAACAGAAGCTTTTGGTCCTGTTATTATTAAGAAATAATAAGCAACAATACTCTGGCCTGTGACACTCTCCCCAGCCACTAGGGTGTGGAGGAGGGGAAGAAGGGGAAGAGGGGAAGAGTTGGAGGTCTCAGGGAAACGAAACTATGTGTTATTACAGGAATTGGGGAAAGAGGAAAGAAAAGAGAAAAGGAATAGGGAGGGGAGGGGAGGGGAGGGGAGGGAAGGGAAGGGAAGGGAAGGGAAGGCCAGCCGCATCCCTGTTCCTAGACAGCAGGTGCATGTAGGCAGGGAGCCCCCAAAACCCCTCGAAGTCTACACCCAGCAGGAGGGATCAGGACCCTACGTGCTTCCCAAAGTCCTAGCCGTGGGTACCTTTGCCTGGTAGGCTATGATAGGGTGGCAGAGAAGGGGCTAAAGGAAGAGGGTACAGCTGGAATCTCATACACACACATATTCCCCCCCACCCCCCGCCGTTTTCCCTTTGGGGCTGACAGGGCCCCCAGCACCCCGTGCCAGCTACCCAGGGATGCCAGGGAGATAACACCCAGGGAATCCCAGACCATCACTCACCTTCCCCACGAGCTTGCCTTTCCGGTTCATACACAGGTAGAATTCCGTCTCCTTGCCCTTGATCCGGACTTGACTACCGAAGGTGTCTGTCTCCACTAGGAGCTGGGCTTCGAAAGGCAGAAGGAGAACGAGACACATTTTTTTTACCAGGGGCAAAGATCCCTGACCCTGTCCTTGGACCCTCACTGCTCCAACATCAGGCATGAGGGAGGCATCTAACAGGTCTCATTGGAGCGCCCTGCCCCTTGGACACATGAGACTGTCCATCATTTGTTCTCTACCCCCAGCCTCTGTCGACGCCACTCGGCACCTAGATGGCTCCAGCTGGAGGGTTGTTCTGCCCCTTGCGGCTAAACACCAGTGTGCCCTTCTCCCCTCATCACCCACCCTCACCAGCCCCTCACCTCTGTTCCCCAAAACAGGACAGACAGCCACATGAATAACCTCAGAGAAGTAGCAGTCTCTGGAACGAGGGGACAGACAAACGCAGGCGAGTTTGCACGGGTACTCACGCACACTGCCTTGGGGGACATCAAGCTACCTCCCCCAAAATTTAGGTCAAAGGCCCCTTCCCCCAGGGCAAACATCTAGAACCCCTGCTAGTGTACCCTCCCCACTCCACACTTTTGCCACTTGAAGTGGGGAAGGTCCAGGGAGGGGAGGTTCAAGGCCCCTGGGAAATGAAGGCTCTCTTCAGGATATTCTACTTTCTTTAGTCAAGGCCACCAAGGCTGAAAGGTGGCTAACTTCCAGGAGCCCAGAAGTCCCAATCAGGACCCAGTAGCTATCCCCTGATCTGGAGTAGGAGACCCCACACTAAACCATCCATTCTCCACAGAGCCTCCCTCAGGAGAGGGGTGTCCAGAGCTAATGCCCCAAGCCCTGACTGAGAAAGAACATCCAATGATCAAAGGGTGACTGTCCCTTGAATAGGCAAGCTGTGTCCAGACCCCTCTCTGTCCCTCTGTCAGTTCATATTCTCTCACCAGTAAGGTGCTGTGTGACTTTGGTAGGCCATGTACCCTCTCTGAGCTCTCTCTCCTCTCTGGACTTGAATTCCTGTGCCTGATTCCCTCCCCAGCATCTCCTCCCACTGCTGCCTTCTTTGCCTATGACCCCCCCCCCAACTTAATTCTCACCCTCCCATCTCTGAGCCTTTGCTTCCCGGCACCTGCCCCTCCCTCACCCGCAAACTTTTAATTTCAGTGACAAGGGACTTACTTCTCCATAACAAAAATCATAGCCCTAAATACGGCATCTTTGGAGCCACAAAGAGTGTACCTCAGTGCCCCTAAAATACACTAGGTATGATTTTAATAAAAAAATTTAAAAATATATACCCTGGTGCCCTGCTGTGAAAATTAAAACCATCTGGAACTCAGGATTTCCAATAATTAATCTAGCCCTCCTTTGACACCACTACTAATTAAAATATGATACCCCACCTTTCCAAGGAAAATAAGAAGAATTTACATAAAATTTAAAGATCTAACAAGAATTCAGTAATTCTAGAAACAGGGAGGGAGCGGGAGGCACATTCTTCTCTCCACCTTCCCCCATCCCTAGTAAACACTGAATGGAGAACATTAAGCAACAGTGAGATAGGGGGTTATGAGCCCTGCATCCTCCCTGCTCCCCTTTAATTCAAACTCCCTATAACTCTCCCTGGGAACCCAGGGTCAAACATCAGAGCAGCCCGGGGCCTGCTTTCTGCATCTGCCCCACACAGGATGGAGGTTGTGGGGGTTCAAGAGGGTCTCCAATCCCAGGAGCTTCTAAAGAAGCCAGCACATGTTAAGGGAAAGGCGAGAGCTTTGGAATGGACAGAGCTGGGTATAAATCCCTGGCCCCACTTGCCAACTCTATGACCCTGGGCCTCAGTTTCCTCATCTGTAAAATGGGTATAATCAACCCTAATCTTCAAAAGTTATTGTGAGGATTCCACAACATGAAGGCAGAAAGGGCTTAGTCCCTTGTACTCAGAAGCCAGGTAAGGCAAGTAACTATTGTTTACGTTTCTTAATAACTGCAAAACAAAACTGTTTTCCTCTAACACACACACACACACACACACACACACACACACACACACACACAAACGCATGCGCGTGCACCATAGTGGGAAAAAATCAGATGTGTGTAAAAGGGCAGAATAGAGCCAGACTTGCCTCCCCAGGCACGCCCTCTGACCTGAACTTCTTCAGCGTCCTCCGGGGTAGCAGGCATCTCACACTGAGAAGTGAGTGCATCAGGAAATGCCTTGGGCTGGGACTTATGGGGTCTGATCATTGCCATGCTGGGCTGTGTGACCCTGAGTAAGTCACAGCCCCCTCTGAGTCTCAGTCTCCTTACCTGTGCAAGGTGGGGGGTGGGGGGTGGGGGGTGGGGTCAAGCCTATTCTGATTCTCTCCCGGATTGGGGCAGAGCCTTGAAGAGGGGTAGAAATGGGAGGCAGCATGTAGGAAGGGGATTAGGCCCCAGGACCGCAGCCCAGGCAACCCCAAGGCAACCCCAGACCTCTCTGTCTGCCCCTCTCCCCGCATGTGCCTAGACCTCCATCCTCAGAACATTTCCTACCGTTCTTGCTCCCACATGAGCCCACTGAAGTCACACATCACCACGAGCTGGGGTGTCTCTGTCCCCATTTTACAGTTTAGGAAACTGAGGTTCAAAGGAGCAACTCAGCAGGTCTACCTGACTTTCTGATGGGGCCTGGGCTCCAGGGGAGGGCCCCTAACTCTGGGGAGATGTAGTTCCCTGCCCCCCCAACCCCCAGTGCTCATAAGCCACAGCCCAGCACAGGAAGCCCCGGCCTTTGCCTGAGCTGTCCCAAAGGCCTAGGGCTGGAGCTGGGCTGCACCTCCACCCCCACAAACCTCGCTACCCCCACCCCAGCCTGGGGAAGGTCTGCTCCAGATGCCATGCCAGGGAGCCAGCAGTCTGTTCTCCCCGACCACAGCAAGCCTTGCAGTGACCTAGACTCCACTCAGCGCATGACATAATGAGGAGGGAGCTGGGCCAGAATTATGTAAAGTCTGTGGGGAGTAATAGCGGCAGCAATTCTCAGAAAGAGAGAGAGAAAGAGAGACAGATGGAGAGAGAGACCCCACCCACCCAGGCCAGGTTTGCTCTAGAGCCTACCTCGTCCTCAGCATCACGCTCCCCCTTCTCATGACCCAAGCCCCCAACATGCAGCTCTCAGGAGCTAAAGACTTCTTCTGGGCTCAGTTCCATTCTTGAGGCCTGTACCAGGCCAGGCAGGAGGAGTCTGGAACTTTATCTGGCTCCACTCATCAGACCTCCTCTCCAGGCATCCCCTCCAGACTGCACAACTCAACAGCCTCCTCCCTCTGCCAGAGAGATCCTTTAAAAATATAAAATTAATTCTCTCTCGTCCCTGCTAGAGGCCTCCTAAGTGATCTCCAACTTGCTGAAAATCCAGCCTCTTCATGGGGACCCATATGGGACACATGCTCTGGCCCCTGCTGACCATTCCTACATCCCAACCTCACTCACAGCCCTCCAGTCAGCAAGCCTCCTTGCTATTCCTCTCTGACATACCAAGCACACTCCCACCTCAGGGCCTTTGCACTTGCTGTTCCCTCTACCTGGATCTTCCCACAGCAGCTTCTCTTCTCTTAGGTTGCCACTCAAATGTCACCCCCTGAGAGAGGCCTTTCCTGGCCACACGGTCCAATGTCATACCACCCTCCCCAGTCCAGCTCTACCCACCCCCTGCTCCATTTTCCTTAGAGCTCTTCTCCAAATTGTCTTAGTTGCTAAGACAATTGTCTGTCTCTATTTACCGGAAGGTAAGCTCCACCAGAGCAAGGGCTTATCTGTCTTATTCACCACTGTGATTTCTAGCCCCTAGCCCAAACTTGGCCTGTAGTAAATGACCAACGAGTAAATTTTAGTAAATGCATAAATGGCTTTGTGAAGTAGATATGAGTAATACTATTTAAGGGTTAAAGAAAGCAAGGTGAAGGGAGGTGAAGGGACTTGCCCAAAGGCACACAGCTGGTCAAAGCGGCGCAGATGCTGGGAGCCAGTGTGACGCCACAGTCAACACCCTTGGCCACGCTGCTCCCCACTGGTGTCCTCCAGTACTACTCCTGCTCTCGCTAGAACCCGGAGCTCCCACCCACCCGTCCCCCCAGGCTCAGGAGACTCGCCGTGTGACAAAGGGAAAAACCCTCTTCCTCTCTGGGCCAGGCCTAGTGACCTCCGAGTCACTGGCTTTCAGTTCCGCCCTTCTAGAAAGTATCATTTATTTGGAGCTTATAATGTCGTGGCCACTGTTCTCATTCCCCTCTATGCATCCTCTCACTTACAATATCCTCACAATAATCTCCCGAGGTTAGAACTGTTATCCTCATCCCCATATTACAGGTGAGAAAACTGAGTGCCAAGGTTACACAGTGACGGAGGTACAACCCAGGCAGGCTAACTCACAAATCTTGGTCTCGCCCTGTCCACCCCTCGCTTTACCCTTCCTCTGCAGCCGTTCCTTTCCTGGGGCAGTGGGTGAGTAAACCAAGCCAGGGAAGCTCTTTGCTTTGACCTCACTTTCTTGAGGCAGAGGGCTATAGGTAGAGATGCCCACAGAGCCCTTTCTATAAAAAAACACCCATGACACTGGCAGAGTCACTCCAGAGGTAGTCTGAGGCAGACGAGAGATTCAGAGGTAGGCAGAATGCGACAGACATCACGCAGAGCAGCCATGGTGGAGAAAAGGGAAGTGACGTTGACTGACTGATTGATTGATTCCAGTGTGATTCCCTAGCGGGGCCTCCCAACATGTGATCCAGGGCCTCACTTGGAAGACTTTGGGCTTGAAGGGTAGGAAACAGCAGGGAAAGACACAGAGAGGCAGCCAGAAACCAGAGAGAAACACAGTACAAAGAGAGACACAGGAGACAGGAACCAAAGAGAGGAAACCCGAGAGAACAAAGCTGGAAATGGGGATTTCTTTTTCCCCAGCCTCAGGCTAAAACCCCACAAGACCTGCAAGAGCAGTACGGGAGCCAGGAGCCACCTGGACCTTGCATGAGGTGACCAGCAGCTGGCTCACCGCTACGGTTCCAGTGCCGACTGCATGCTGGCC